TGAGCAATAGAGCTGATGAAGGTACGTGTATGGGTGAATATAAGGACAATGTCTTGCATCAACTTTTCGTCACCGTCAGTCCAAAACTCTGTTATGCCATCAAACAGCACGTGTCTCGGCTGAAAAGGTGAGTTTCAGTAATGTAATGTGATGTGTTACTAAAATATCTTTTTGTTTTGTTTTCCGCTATCAATCTTAATATCTTATTGTTGTTTCGGTGTTCTTATTCTTTTTTTACTCGGTATGACTTTTCAGTTGAATATTGATCTTAAATTTTGGCAAGAAATAATATTGTAATGGCTGTTTTCGACAAATACTATGAATAGTAATGTAGCTCCTGTTTGGTGTATATTAAAATCTCAAGTCAAAGTCAACAACTAATTTAACCACAACATTTCATGACTTTTATCAAAATTTACTAAAAATCTGATTTTAATTTATACCAAAATGGGGGCGTAAGATGTTGGTGACCTATTTCTCCAAATTATGTTGAAGTTGGGGTCAGTGAATTTGATCTTATTTAAGCCCCTCATATTATCAAACTGGTTGAATTTAATGAGTTGACTTGCATATTTCATCAACATGATACTTTATTTTGTGTTGTGCGAAGATAATTAAGCTATTATACTATTATAATGTTATTAGTACTAGCGGGTGCACCCGTGGAGCATTTTGCTTTTGCTCATTGAATGCAAGTGTAAACACTTTTCTGCACATAAAATTAATTCATTCTTCGGCCTCGGTACAAAATATTTTCGCTCTACAGTTTTCCACTGTTAAGCCAACTGCCTTGGGGTGTTCTGATTCATGGTAAGACCCTTTAGATTGATAGGAAACATTGTGACTTTGACCATGGTTCCCAAAGAGTAGAAAAAAGAAAAAAAATTGATCTGTGACATATTGTTTGCCTTGAGTGTTCTGATTCATGGTAAGCCCCTTTAGATTGATAGGAAACATTGTGACTTGAATCGTGGTTCTCTAAGAGTTGAAAAAACACAAATTGATCTTTGGCATATTGTGAAACCAGTGACTGTCATTGTAAGATAATATAATAAGCTCACGATCCTTGTCAAGGTAAAAAATAAATTAGAAAGGACTTTTGATTTTTATTATTGGTGCTAGTAACTCCTTTCAATTCATGTAAGATTTAGAATGACTTGGAAGATAAATATATCATACTAGTAATATTTTGACGATGATTTGACCTTGGTAAATAGTCTCAGCTCATGTATTCACCTTATGATCAATATTATTTATTGGTACCTTGATTTCAGTTTAGTTTCAAATAACTTGAAAGTTGATACATTTTCTTCTATTTCTCCACTCATAGTGAATTTCTCTTCTTCAATTAAGGAAGATTTATATATCCGGCACTAACATTTATATAGATGTTTTTGAAAAATCTAATACTTGATTATATTATACTCAACATCTTTCTTTCTGACATTTCCAATATTCACAGCTTTGCTGGTGGTGGACAATTCTATAGTGATGACAGTTCTATTGATGTGGATGATATCGATCAAATGGCACAATTTCAGGACATTCCTGATTCATTTGTTGGAATTAAATCAGAAAAGTATCCTCTTGTTATTACACTTCAAAAGTTCTTATTGATGCTCGATGGTTCCCTGGGTAATTCATTCTTTGAGAGGTTTCCAGATATGAAGGATTTTTCTCAAGATAAAAGAAGTTTGAAATCTGTGGTATTGCAATCTTTCATGAGGAAAAAGGAGGTTAACTTTGACCATTTCAAATCCTTTTATTGGCCACATTTCAATTCAAAGTTGACAAAGAATCTCGAACCTTCGAGAGTATATACTGAGATAATGTCTCATATAAAAGGAGGCTTGCAAGTGGGGGAGGCATGTGATATTAAGCTAAACAGGGAAGAGTATGTTTCATTGTCTGATAAGAGGGTGTCTACTTTTTGTGCTCAGGAAAGGGAGGCCATCTATGATATTTTTAAGGACTATGAGAAAATGAAGATGGAGCTTGGTGAATTTGATCTTGCTGATTTGGTGATCGACCTTCATCATCGGCTAAATAATGCGAATTTACAGGGTGGAAAAATGGACTTTGTATATGTTGATGAAGTGCAAGACCTTACCATGAGACAAATTGCTTTATTTAAATATGTTTGCAAAAATGTTGATGAAGGCTTTGTATTTTCAGGCGATACAGCACAGACTATTGCAAGAGGAGTTGACTTTAGGTTTGAAGATGTACGTTGTTTATTCTACAAGGAGTTTCTAATGAAAACAAAACAAATTGAATGTGGAGGTAGAAAGGAGAAAGGACATTTATCAGATATGTTTAACTTGT